GAACTCTGACACGAACTCCTCCACTGAACATCAAAACATACAACTCAATAAATACCCTTAATTACCAAAATACCCCTGGAAGACAACTGGTCAACCTTGGACAAGTCAAAGTCAACCCCTGACTGACCCTACTCGCCGAGTCAACCCGATGACTCGCCGAGTCCTTATGCTCAGAACTTCCCTCAATAGCGACCCAACTCGCCGAGTCACCCCAAGACTCGTCGAGTCCAACAACTCTGAGTCCACTCGCACCCAACTCACCGAGTCATCCCTTGACTCACCGATTCATCGACTCAACCAGAAATATTGGGACTTCCTCGACAAGACTCGCCGAGTCCAAATGGACTCGTCGAGTCCAAGGCTATCTTCAACCTACTCGCCGAGTTGTTCTTCCAACTCGTCGAGTTCCAGGCCATCTTCAAGCAACTCGTCGAGTCCACCCATGTGACTCGTCGAGTACCACCGGTCTGAATCCATACAGAAGCATCTCAGGCCATGCAATTGATCCAAAACATAGATCCAACCTCCTACAATCCATCCATCACGTAAAGTGGCAAACTTTACGTGAATCTAAAGAGATCTAGGCCTTATTCACCTTAGAACCAAGGTTTGGGACATGGTAGCTCCATTAACAACACAAGAACAGGGGCTTTAATGCTCTTAAGATCTTCTCCACTCCAGATCTGAGGTAGCAACCTCAGATCCATCCTCCAAACATCAAGATGCCACACAACCAAGCACCCCACACAACCCCAAAATGAGAAACTAGGAAAACAGCCCAAGAACGAAAGTATTACCTCCAAAAGATGCCTCAATAGCAATGAAACTCGAATCCAAGCAAAGCCCTTTGATCCAAGCCACTTCTCCTTCAAGATTTCTTCAACCAACACCTCTCCAAGCTCTAATTTGCTCCACAAATGGACTCTCCACGAATTTAGGGTTTCTGGAACTCAAGGGGGGAATAAGGGAGGCTGTGGAGGGGCATAATGCTCTTTATATAGGGCTCAACCCCGAAAATTAGGGTTTTCTCCATACAGCACCTACTCGCCGAGTCCATCTTTGGACTCGCCGAGTAGGCCACTTGATACGCGACCATAGTCGCGACCTGACTCGCCGAGTCTATCCATGGACTCGCCGAGTCACCCTCCGAAACTTACACTTTTAGCCCTTCAACTCTACTCTTGCGATTCCGGGATGTTACAATTCTCCCCCACTTAAATTAGGCTTCGTCCTCGAAGCCTACGGCATCTCATCTTCAAATTACTTCCCACGACGCGCCGCCTGACCTTGACCGAACCCAGTCCCTCAAGGCACAACCATAGAAACCAGAAGCTCACTTTCTCCTTCCATACGGTGCCCCAACCACCTACTCAACCCGGGCACCAGCTGTACCCTCCGATAACCACACTCAACAACCGAGAATTACCCATGATGCCTTACTGCTCCAATTCTCATCTTTCACTTGACTCATATGGCTAGAAAACCGTGAACCATCGGATCCCCGATCCGAATCCCACTCTATCCATTCCATGACGACAGAAAGACCCATTCTTCCATTCCAGAGCAACTCCCCCGAGTTCTCCTCTCGCAATCACACACACATGCTGATCTAGCTCTAGCACCCTCAGGTTTGGAAACCTGATACACTGATGATATCCTCAAACATCCTTCCAGGATGAACCGCTAAAACATAACCAAAACCCTGATCATAATCTCACTGAGAGTCCAAGACTCTTTCTCTGTATCCCTTCCGAACCCCTCTCCCTGGCTCTACGCCGTGGTATTCCCTTCGCGCCCTGAGAAACATATCAAGTCGAATGAGCTTTTATTCTACCGCCGCAACACACTACTCAAAGACCATCGACGGACCACTCCAATCATAACTCTACACTGCCGCTTTCACTTCCGTGAATTCGCACTCCCTTTTGGAATTTCATTCCTCCCTCTTTCCTTACCAAGGAAACCACTCGTCCGCCCAGTCACCATGACAGGCATTATGGTGCTCATCCCACGCTACATTACCTCTTTAAAGCGTACCCGACATCCATGCATCACCACTACTCTGACTCTCATCGCAGGGACTCTCAAGCCCATGCACTACCTTCACTGCTCAAGATTGCTACCCAGGGCCAGACCTCCCAATGTAATCACACTGCAACATACGCAACCCATAACCTCGAACCGATCCAACAGTACTCGCAGAGTCTTCAGCATGACTGGACCGCCTCCCCAGGCCTTCAGCCAATCTGGACCACTCTCAGAACCTTCAGCCAATCTGACTGGACCGTCCTCCGAGCCTTCGGCCTGACTGGTACGCCTACCGGCCTTCAGTCTATCCGGACCGCTCAACTAGCATTCATCATTCCGAACTATCCCTTCGGGAAATCCTCCCGTGCATACCGTTCTAGCCCTCTAGGGGTTCCGAACTCTATCTCCATCATACATACTCGATGGCCTGCTCCCATGCCTTCCACAATCAATTGCTCTAGGTCTGTATTCCGCCCCACGCCTGTTACTCACCCATACGAGCCTGCTCTCGACTGATAGAAATACCGCTGAATTCCCCAAGCAGCTAAACAACCTCTCAGGCCCAACGATCATCCGGAGAATTTCCAATTCTCCCCCACTTAAGACACTGACAATTAATCACCGGTCGCCATCACCGATCTCCCAAAGCAACTTAGAAAATCAACACTTACACGCAAAATGTTTCTCACCAGCGCAACAACTTTCATAAAAATCATGTTTCCACGCTGCACAACCCGCTCGAAAGGAACCCAATCTTCAAATATCCATTCCTCAGACTGCAGAATCTACCGGCCTTCAAACCAACGCCGCATCGCCACCAATCCTCACAAAGATAATCAACGATAGCTCGAAGTACTAATCCATAACCATATCGATCCTTCAGGGAACAAAGGATACCAAAACGAAATCTCGATCACAACTCGCCAAACCCTCAGGGAACAATGGATACCACACGAAAACTCGAAAGGCAATTTCATAACCAACCAACGAAACCAACAGAGAACAATACTCCACAACAATCATAAATAATCAAAAACAACAGAAAGAACATACCCGCAGCAGCAAGCTGAAAAACACGACCCTAAGCCCTTGGGGGCTCCGCTCCACCCTGACCTCCACCTGTGATCCTCAACGTAGCCGGTGCTGGAGCCTGCACCGGTCCTGCAGCAAGCCGTGGATAATTGACCTTCAAATGTCCAACCTGATGACAATGATAACATATCCTCAAATCCCGAACCGGCACTGACTACCGACAATCCCTCGCATAGTGTCCCTCTTTCCGCACTTGCGGCATGCTCCACCGGACCGACAAACCCCATCGTGACCCCTTCCACACTTTCCACAAACGTGGCTACCCTGATCTCCCATCCTGGGATCAACGGTCTTAGACCGTTTCGTTGCTGGCTGCGACTGAACCGGAGCTTGCCTCAGCTCACGCATCTGCAACTCAATCTCTAACTCACACCGCCTGGCGGCCTCCTGCAACTCCAACAAGGTCTCGCACCTCTGCGTAGACACAAACTGCCTGATGTCTCTCTTTAGCATACTCAGATATCAGGACATTTGAGCCTGCTCCGAAGTGAACTCAGGGCAAAACATCGCCCTCTTAGTAAACATCCTGGTGATTTCTGTCACCAACTCCGAATCCTGTTTCAGCTCCAAAAACTCCTGAGCCAACCTCTCCCTCTCGACCTGCGGAACATAACGAGTGCTGAACATCTCTCTGATATCGCAGCTCTCTGTGCATCCGAGTACGACCCCATGGTCAATCTTGGACAAGTCAAAACACACAACTCAATAAATACCCTTAATTACCAAAATACCCCTGGAAGACAACTGGTCAACCTTGGACAAGTCAAAGTCAACCCCTGACTGACCCTACTCACCGAGTCAACCCGATGACTCGCCGAGTCCTTATGCTCAGAACTTCCCTCAATTAGCGACCCAACTCGCCGAGTCACCCCAAGACTCGCCGAGTCCAACAACTCTGAGTCCACTCGCACCCAACTCACCGAGTCATCCCTTGACTCACCGATTCATCGACTCAACCAGAAATATTGGGACTTCCTCGACAAGACTCGCCGAGTCCAAATGGACTTGTCGAGTCCAAGGCTATCTTCAACCTACTCGCCGAGTTGTTCTTCCAACTCGTCGAGTTCCAGGCCATCTTCAAGCAACTCGTCGAGTCCACCCATGTGACTCGTCGAGTACCACCGGTCTGAATCCATACAGAAGCATCTCAGGCCATGCAATTGATCCAAAACATAGATCCAACCTCCTACAATCCATCCATCACGTAAAGTGGCAAACTTTACGTGAATCTAAAGAGATCTAGGCCTTATTCACCTTAAAACCAAGGTTTGGGACATGGTAGCTCCATTAACAACACAAGAGCAGGGGCTTTAATGCTCTTAAGATCTTCTCCACTCCAGATCTGAGGTAGCAACCTCAGATCCATCCTCCAAACATCAAGATGCCACACAACCAAGCACCCCACACAACCCCAAAATGAGAAACTAGGAAAACACAGCCCAAGAACGAAAGTATTACCTCCAAAAGATGCCTCAATAGCAATGAAACTCGAATCCAAACAAAGCCCTTTGATCCAAGCCACTTCTCCATCAAGATTTCTTCAACCAACACCTCTCCAAGCTCTAATTTGCTCCACAAATGGACTCTCCACGAATTTAGGGTTTCTGGAACTCAAGGTGGGAATAAGAAGAGGCTGTGGAGGGGCATAATGCTCTTTATATAGGGCTCAACCCTGAAAATTAGGGTTTTCTCCATACAGCACCTACTCGCCGAGTCCATCTTTGGACTCGCCGTGTAGGCCACTTGATACGCGACCATAGTCGCGACCTGACTCGCCGAGTCTATCCATGGACTCGCCGAGTCACCCTCCGAAACTTACACTTTTAGCCCTTCAACTCTACTCTTGCGATTCCGGGATGTTACAGTACCTTTGTTAGGCGTTACCCTGAAAAAAAAACACAAGTGGAATTAAAAATATATTTTTAACAAGAAATAGTCAAAAACATTGTATTATATAGTGTATACAAATAGTATTTAGGAATTTAAAACTAACCAGTTCTCTTATCACGACGTACGCCTTCAGCATTTCGCCCACTTATAGAAGGATACATTTTTTGAAACCTGCAAGTAATATAATCAGTAAGTGGAAAGGGGTAATCCTGACCTTCTACAATAAGGTTTCAGACAAGAGTTTGGGACAAAAATGTAATTTTTTTTACCCATCCAAAAAAGCTCACAATCTCTCATATGTGCAAAAGACGTTAACACCCTCCACATTCTCATCATCAAAAATAGCCTTAAAAGATTATTTAATCCCTTCCAGATCTATTAAGCGCACTTTCAACACTAAGGATGCGGAGGGTATCAATGTCTTTTGCAGAGTCGAGAGCGAATCGTTATTCCACCTTTATTGTAGGACAAAAAAAACCCATTAGCAAATAACAAAGGAGTGATATGATTACCTCAACCAATCATCCTTACTTGTTTTAGCAATTTCTTCTTTTATATCTTTACCACTGACTAAACCAGTTTTTGGCCTCTTCGATTCCTTGATAGGTTTTCTCGGGGGAGAAAGATCATCATGTGGACGATTATGCCCCCGTCTGGGAGGAGAAATATCAGACTCTCGACTTCGGCCCTTCCGAGGAGGAGAAATATCATATTTTGATTCTAGTGTATCATTATGTGCCCTTCGTTTACAGGGTGGGGACATGTCGAAATTCAATTCTGATATATGTTCGGATTCTGATTCCGGTTCTGGTGTGTCATTCTGGGCCCTACGTCTACGTGGCGGAGAGATGTCGGAATTTTTAGCAGTAGCAGACACGGGAACCCAACCGCTTCCATCTTCAGAAATAGCACCAAAAGGTCGCAAGCTTTTAAGTTGCTCTAATCTTTTCATTCGTTTCACTTCAATATCTTCATCAACTTGTGGCTTCTCTTCATCTGTACATTATAAGGGTGATTATAATTGGGTAGCAATGTAAATTTATAAATCATCTTCCTATTACATTATTGTATTTTGAAAATCTACCAATTATATTTATAGCAATATCATCTAAATACAAAGCAATTTGCATTGCTATAATTGGGTAAATTCATGAAAGTACAATACATTAACAAAGAACATTAACATCAAACGTGAAGCAATCTACTGAACAAGAAATTTTATTGGCATACCTTGTGACTCATCATCTTTTTCTTCAAGCTGAACTGGACTTTGCCAAATAGGATCCTCATCAACAACAAGAACACTATTCATATCAGGCTTAGTTTTCATCTTCTTCTTCTTCTTCTTCTTCTTCTTCTTCTTCTTCTTCTCCTCCTCATTATTTTCGTATCTTTTTAAATACTCCTTGAGTGAACTGGACCCTGAAGATGGTGCTACCATGGTTGTTCTTCAAGCCCTGCTCCCAAAAAAAACATTATGTTTTATGTTTTAAGGTTCAATCATATAAAATATGTAGCCGAGCTTGTTTCTTTTCTTTTTTCCATCAAGTGTTGTCAAGAATCAAGATACATGATATGTTTTAAGGTTCAATCATATAAAATATGTAACAGAGCTTGTTTCTTTTCTTTTTTCCATCAAGTGTTGTCAAGAATCAAGATAAATGATGAAATGAGATGTGCAGATGAATTTTAAAAGTTTTTTGTAAACTAATCAGTTGTGGAAATATGAGAAACAAACAATAATACAGTTGTATTTCACTTTTTATTTAGTTATCTTTATTTTTAAGTCTATTCAAGTACGAGACATTTTATACTCTTAAAGAGATAAAAGGAATTAACAGATGAAATAAATGCAGGGAACAATAAGAACTATCAGTTTTTATTTAATCATCTTCATATTTATACTCTCTAATTTACGGTTTTCCCTCGTTTACACCATCAATGAACACACCATGTGCATTTCTTTTTTCAGAGTTTTTTAAAGGACCATTATGTTATGTCCTATACATAGAAATTACCAACCTATCCTCATCGCCATTTATAACTTTTAAAGCATGTATGTATGTATAAACATAAACTTATGATCACCAATATCAATTTACATTCACAAAAGAATATGAATGTATGCAACTTGCTTGGATATTGCAGCTAAGGAAGGATTGGAATTAAAAAGAAAAAAATGTAATTGGGAAAGAAAGTAGAGGAATAGACCTCAATAGCCATGCGTGCCCATTTGTTCCCCATTTTAGCATGGAGTTCAATGATGTGGCGTTCTTCCTTTGGTGTAAATGCACCTTTTTTGAGATCAGGTCTTAAGTGATTTTCCCACCTTAAACAACAGCTTTTACCACAACGAGAAAGCCCAGAGTGCTTCTGAACAAGTAAATAAATAAATAAATATTATCATGATTTAATTTAAACAATGAAATAAACAGTTGAAATATACAAATGTGTATGAAAAAAGGTTTTACCTTCTTTGTTGAGTTGCAGAAAAGAGAACAGTTTGCCTTGTCTACACTGCACATTATAGAGAACCAAGTTTAGTTCACTAATGATACAAAAGTTAAGTACCACAAGGGTAATATGGTCAGTTAGTTGAAGTATTTGAAATGGAATCAAAATGCACTTTTGGTTGTAATTTTTCTCTCAGGCATTTCATCATACAGTTGGCAAGCCCTAATTTGAGAAAAACGGAAATAAAAGAGAAATGGAGAAACTACCGTCTTGTTCAATGGAAATTGGAAGAGTGCGTTCATGACCATGACTCCATGAGTCTAAAATCATTAAAAGTGTTTAACTTTTAAGTGGAAATAAAAATGCAGGTACCTGTGTTCTTGATGAACATGTCAATTTTTGGAGGGGCGTATGTTGTGGCGTTTATATTACTATGGAGGCTAGCGATTTTTGGGCTTCCGTTTATTATAATTTTAGCTATACCTGGTTTGATTTATGGAAGGGTTATTATGAGCTTGTTGAGAAAGATCAGAGAGGAGTACAATAAGGTTGGTACAGTGGCGGACAAGGCGATTTCATCCTTGAGGACCGTTTATTCTTTTATGGGTGAAAACAAGACGATAACAGAGTACTCTGCTGCTCTTCAAGGTACTGTGAAATTAGGGCTAAAGCAAGGTTTGGCTAAAGGAATAGCGATTGGCAGCAACAGCGTCGTTTTTGCAGTTTGGTCTTTTTTTGTCTTGGTATGGTAGCAGGATGGTGATGTACAATGGAGCTAGTGGAGGAATTGTGTTTGTTGTTGGAGCTGCCATCGCAATTGGTGGAGATAACCCATAAATAAAAATTAGTAAAAGAGGAAAATAAAATCAAAGAAATACCAAAGTATCCAAACCTGGGTAATCAAGAAACCCGAAAATGATGAACATTGGCCAAAAACTCTAACATGGGAAATATAAATCAATGAACCCTTGGCGATCTGAATCTTGAAGAGTTAATACTTGGGTGGCCTTCCATATCACAGTTCCTAGTTTCATTGATGCCTATACATCCGAACAGAACACACTACGGTGTGAGTGAAGGCTAGGGTTCTTGAATGAGAACAAATAATTTTTTGAGAAAGTCTTTGAAGACATTGTGGAGAAAAGGATACGGAAAGAAGTAGGTTAAGGAATACTACAAGAACACTATTGTCGAGTATTATCAAGAATAGCAGAGAAGAAGTAGGTGAAATCACAGCAGAGATGAAACAAATGAACAGAAATCAGAAGCCTTTTTTCTTGATTGAGATGATGAAGTCGAGAGATGGAGATGAAATCATAACCTTGGATCTTTGATTGAGAAGTTGCACAACAGTGTAAGGAGAATGAAAGATGCGTCAAAACTCTTAGGGCAAAGAGGGTAGCGGGCTTTTCTAATTTTTTGGCTTTTCTTTTCCCGCTTGTAACTAAGGAACGCACGTTCATAAAAATTATAAAGCGACAACTACAGACGACACACATTTAAGATACAGCGCCCTCCGTGTTTTTAATTTTTTTTCTTATGACACTAATTTAAAGGCACGCAATAATGCATGACCTAAATCCTTAAATTCTCTGAAGAGACGACACTTTTTTAATGTCACTCTCATTTGCGTAACAGAAATCAATGAGTGTCGTGGTTTGCGCGTCGTAAAAGGCTGTTTTTCTAGTAGTGTCTAAGTCCAACATTTCTTCAATTCTTTCATCTTGTGCTATTCCTTCTTCATATCTTTTAACCTGATGCCCATTAACTTTGAAACTTGATCCATCTTTGTTCCTTAACTCAATCACACCATAAGGATAGACATGCTTAACAGAAAAAGGCCCGATCCAATGAGTGCGTAATTTCCCGGAAAAAATTTAAGTCTTGAATTGAATAATAGCACCTTTTGTCCTTCCTCAAACTCTTTATTTCCTTTCAACCTTGCATTGTGCCATCTTTTTGTCCTGTCCTTATAAATCAATGAGTTAGTATAAGACTCATTCCTCATTTCTTCTAAAGCATTCATTTGCAAGATTCGATTTGCACGCAACTCATGTGGCTCAAAATTACATGTTTTCAAAGCCCAATAAGCTTTGTGTTCAAGTTCCATGGGTAAATGACAATTTTGTCCATACACTAATCTATATGGTGTGGTTCCAATTGGTTTGTTAAATGTTGTCCTAAATTCCGAAAGTGCATCATCCAATTTATCCGCCCAATCTTTTCTATTGTACCGCACCGATTTTTCCAAAATTCTTTTCAACGCCCTATTCATAATTTCGGTTTGCCCATTGGATTGTGGATGATAAGGCATTGAAAATTTATGGCGTACCCCATATTTTTGAAATACTTTTGCGAGTTGTTCATTAGCAAAATGGGTTCCCCGGTTACTAATTAATGTTGTAGGCACTCCAGATCTTGAAAATAATTTCTTTAAAAATATCACCACCACTCTTGCATCGTTTGTTGGTAATGCTTGTGCTTCCACCCACTTTGACACATAATCTACCACCACCAGGATATATTTGTTGCCCTTAGATGAAGGAAATGGTCCCATGAAATCTACACCCCAAACGTCAAAAATCTCACAAACTTGAATATTCAATTGGGGCATTTCATTCGTTGCCGATATATTCCCTGTTCGTTGGCAAGCATCACATTCTTTTACGTAAGTAGCTGCATCTTTAAAAATAGTGGGCCAATAAAAACCGAAATCAAACACTTTTTTAGCAGTGTATTGTACCCCATGGTATCCTCCAGTAGGTCCATTGTGGCAGTGTCCCAAGATGTCTCTACTTTCCTTGCCAAATACACATCTTCTTATTATTCCATCCGCACAGCTTCTAAAAAGATAAGGCTCGTCCCAAAAATAATATTTAATTTCAGCAAAGAACTTTTTCTTTTGTTGATGGGAAAGGCCTTTTTGGAGGTAATTGCTGGCCAAGTAATTTGCAGTATCTGCTTACCATGGTTCTTCACTCACAATCACCATAAAATATTCTTCAGGGAAGCTATCTCCAAAACCCATGTTGTCTTTGTCTTCCCTCTCTAGATTTTCTAATCTAGAAAGATGATCGGCTGCAACATTCTCCATCCCCTTTTTATCCTTGATCTCGATGTCAAATTCTTGAAGTAAAAATACCCATCGGATCAATCTTGCCTTTGCATCCTGCTTGGCAAAGAAATACTTACTAGCAGAGTGGTCAGTAAAAATAGTGGCTTTAGATAAAATAAGATAATGGAGGAATTTGTCAAAAGCGTACACCATGGCTAGTAATTCTTTTTCAGTTGTGGTGTAATTTTCTTGGGCCGGATTCAAAGTCTTGCTTGCATAATAAATGGGTCGAAAATTCCTATCAACCCTTTAGCCAAGTATAGCTCCTAATGCAAAGTCGCTCACGTCACACATTATTTCAAAAGGTAGGTTCCAATTCGGGGCAATAATGATCGGGGCATTAGTTAATTTTTCTTTCAAAAATTCAAAAGCCTCTAGACATTCTTTAGTGAAATTAAATGGTTCATCTTTTAAAAGTAATTGTGTTAGAGGTCTAGGTATTTTAGAAAAATATTTTATGAAATGGCGATAAAAACCCGCATAACCTAAAAAACTCCTAATGCCCTTTACATTAGTGGGTGGAGGTAATTTAGCTATTGTATCTATGTTTGCCCGATCAAGCTCAATTCCCGCCCAAGACTATACCCTCTTTAACCATAAAGTGACATTTTTCCCAAATAAGGACTAAATCGGTCTTTTAACACCTTGCAAGCATTAAATCAAGGTTAGCAAGACAATCATGGAAGGAAGATCCAAAAACAAAAAAATCATCCATAAATTCTTCCACGAATTTTTACACCTTTTCATGGAATATGCCCATCATGCACCTTTGAAATGTCGCAGGTGCATTGCATAACCCAAAAGGCATGCGACGATAGGCAATAGTCCCACTGGGGCAAGTAAAATTAGTCTTTTCTTGGTCAGTTGGGTCTAGGGGTATTTAGAAGTAACCCGAAAATCCGTCTAAGAAACAATAGTAGCTATGGCCGGACAATCTTTCAAGCATTTGATCAATAAAAGGTAGAGGAAAATGGTCTTTACGAGTGGCATCGTTTAGCTTTCGATAATCGATGCACACTCGCCAACCAGTTACCTTTTGTGTCGGAATAAGCTCGTTCTTCTCATTTGTTACGACCGTCATCCCGCCTTTCTTGGCCACCACTTGAACGAGAATAACTTATGGACTGTCGGAAGTAGAATAAATGATCCCCGCATTTAAAAGCTTGACTACTTCCTTCTTGACCACTTCTTGCATTTTCTTGTCCATTCGTCTTTGGTGTTGCCCTACCGGCTTTGCTTCTTCTTCCAGATTAATCTTGTGAGCGCAATAATAGGGGATTATTCCCTTGATATCGGTGATATTCCATGCAATGGCACTCTTTCTCTTCTTTAGGACATGGACTAATGCTTCTTTTTCAGATTTGGAAAGGTCAGAAGCTATTATAATAGGTTTTTGTTCACCTTCTTTCATAAATGCATACTCTAGATGATCAGGTAGAGTTTTAAGGTCTGATTTTGTGTTCTCTGCACTGGACACGTCGAGTCGATACAGGTGACTCGTCGAGTTTATGCGAAATTCCTCATTTGATTGGAATTCACCGTATGGACTCATAGAGTCTATGGTGGCGACTCGACGATTCGTAAATTCTGCACTTTTGACTAAATCATCGTATTCGGCTTCTTCAAGCAGTCTCTCTATCTCTTTAAGCTCCCTTTCAACATCAAATTCTTCTACAAAAGTTATAGATGAATTGTTAGACTTGCCTTCTTTCCAATCTTCTATTAGTTCGTCCATCATATCTACAGAGAATGTCATGTCATCACTAAACCTTGCATGCTTCATTACATGATCAACTCCAAATATAACTGATTCGTCTCCCACCTGAAGGGTGAGTTTGGAATCTCGCATATCTACTATGGCATCCACAGTGTTGAGGAAAGGTCTTCCAAGTATGATCGGGACTTGAGGATCCGCCGGGAATACGAACTTATCCACTTTTACCAATAGGTCCTTGCATATTCCTCTTGGAAATGTCACTGTTTTATTTACTAAGTGTATTTCCATTCGAATTGGCCTTGGCTCCGGAAGGCTTAACTTTTTAAAAAACGAATATGGCATGAGATTTACACTTGCCCCCGAATCCGTTAATGGATGTATGGTTGCCAAATTTCCGAATTGACATGGTAATCACCTTTCTTTTTAGGCATTTTGTTTAGCATGGCGGCCAAACAATTTTCATTAAGAACTACCTTTTTCACTTCTTCCATCCTTTTCGTATTAGTGAGGTGTTCCTTCAAGAATTTAGCATACTTTGGCATTTGTGCAATCACCTCGATGAAAGGGATATTAATTTGAAGGGCTTTTATGTGTTCCAGGAACTTTTGATAATCCACATCATGTTTATCTTGTCTAGCTCGGCCTGGAAAAGGTAGTGGAGGTTGATAAGGTTTTACAGGAGGTTCCTTTTTCGATTTATGTTGGGGACTCGTCGAGTCCATGTCATTGACTCGGCGAGTCCCATTGGGTTTCGGAGATTTCAGGGATTTTTGCTTTTCTGCTTCCTCTTGCACCAGTTTGGGATTTTCTTATGGAATTGGGATCAGAGGGGTAATTATCTTCCCACTCCTGGTTGTCACGATATGTATGTGTGCACCTCTCGGGTTATGTTCGGTATTACTTGGAAGTTCACCTGGTTA